AGAGGGCACTCATTCTGCTCCTGATGGGGGGCCTTGGGCCTTCTCACACCCGCTCCGCCCAGGCCACATGGGTGCCCGCCAAGGGCCGCCGGCCCAACCAGGACTCCTGCAGGGGAGGCTGACCTGGCTGGCGGGGACCAGCAGTGTGGACGTGGGAGCATGTGACAGGGACGAGAGCACAGGGGCCTCCAGCACAGACATGCGAGAGTGCGACTGCAGAGGCGGCCTGGAGCAGCCCTGAGACCCAGCTGAAGCCGCGGCAGAGACCGGCAGCCGGGGAGAGGCGCGGGGCTGAGGGAGGAGAGCCAGGCAGCCTCCAGAGACGTGAGGGGAGGAGACAGGCGCCTGGAGGGGGGAGTGCACTGCAGGTGGCCAAGTGCCGCGGGGGTTCAGGGAAAGCAGAGCTGCAGGCGAGGAGGGCAGGCGGTTGCTGGGACCACGTGTGACAGTGAGCGCTTTCCATGTGGGCAGGTCCCGTGGCCAGGCCCTAGCATCTCTCCACGCGGTCCTCTCCACGCGGTTCCCACCAGAGCTCTGGGAGAGGAAGGCCTGCACCCTCACTTTCCTCATCAGGAAACTCAGACCCTGGGGCTACTCGCCCTGGACACACAGCCTGTGCGGTCTGGCAGGGAAGGCTGAGTGAGGATCGAGGAGCCACGTCCTCTGCGAGAGCAGGGATGCAGGGGAGCCTGCTGGTGTGACTTCGGAAAGGACACTGCACAAAGAGGGCTGTGACTCTGCGTGCCTTCCCAAGAACAATGCCAGGGCAACACCAACTCTCGGGAGAGCGGCGCCCCAGTGGCCAGTCAGCTTCCCAGACATATGATGGCCCAAGTGCGTTTGAGCTGGCCAGGACACCAGCCTTGAACTGCTTGTTCCCTAAGTTGCCCGGACAGCCAGGCATTTCAGGGTCACCCCTGCCTGAGAGAGGCCAGAGCCCCAAGAGGAGGACGCATAGAGTTCCACCAGCTGCAGGGCTACTTCTGAGCTCAGATGCCAGGCCTTCTTTTTAGAGGCGTGGGAATAGGCACAGGATGGAAAAGCCACTTCTACAACCCAGTGGCACTAACACTGCCGAGCTTGGGGTTGCCAGGAGATGGTGCCATGCACAGATCAGATGACCTGCTTGGTTCAAAGGGTCTCGGCTGTAGGGACCATCTGATCTGTAAGCTACAAGACCACAGGCGTCTGGGTCATCCCAGGACTGAGTTTCCCAGCAGGTTCCAGTCTCACTTTATTTTCTTTTTCTTTTCTTTTTTTTTTTTTTTGAGTTGGAGTCTCACTCTGTTGCCCAGACTGGAGTGCAGTGGCACGCTCCTGGCCACCGCAGCCTTGACGTGCTGGGCTCCGGTGATCCTTCCGCCTCAGCCTTCCAAGTAGCTGTAACTACAGGTGTGCGCTACCACGCCTGGCTGATTCTTTGATTTATTGTAGAGATGAGGTCTCACCAAGTTGCCCAGGTGGGTCTCGAGCCTGCGGGCTCAGGCAATCCACTCACCTCAGCCTCCCAAGGCACGGGATTACAGGCTGAGCCACTGAGCCGGCTCTCACTTTATTTTCACAACAATCCTCTAGGTAACTAGATAATCTCAACAACTAGGACGGGACAACACAAGCAGGACCCCAGAACTATCTGGAACAGAGGTTGGCCACCTTGGTGAGTGTCAAGCTGAGAGAAGGCGCCAGGAACTGGCCCCGCCACACAGCCAGCATGCCCCCCCTGCCCACAGTGCTAGGAACATGGTCTTTCATACCTGGGCAAGTACGAGGTCAGTGTATGGTCATCTATCTGGAGATGTAGGTGTATGTTCGAGAAGGAGAGCGAGGGGGCTCAGCTTGGGCAGCAGGATCATTTAGGAAGTCCCAGATGAGGATCGTGTCATCATGTGAACTACTGACAATCTGGAATTCATCAAACTGGAGTCGGAACACTCTTCCGGAATGCTCCTACAATGCAGAAACAAAAAAGGGTCAGGATTTGAATTTCTCAAAACCAACAGGACACAAAGTCAGTAGGACGTCAAGGGAGTCTCTGGAAAGGCTGTGGCGTGCTGTCCATGTCCTCCTCTCTACCATTTAGCCGTTTCCAAAGTACTCAGAGAAAAGTCACTTGGGCTAAAGGCAGGATAGACGAGTCCAACAGCAGGCAGCTGTGAGCACAGCCATGCTCCGGGGGGACACGCTTGGCAGTGTGCGAGCTTCTGGCTGCCTGCTCTCTGCTGAGGTTGGAGGAGGACATTCCTTGCACCTCCCAGCCCCTCCTCTCTCGTGTCTCCAAGTTCCTTCTACAGCCGAGGCCAAGGGTTGGGGGGCAGCGAGAAGCAGTGCACTGATAAATGCCCATCAAGCAAACCTGGCCAGCTTCCAAAGCCACTGGTACATGTTCAGGGCATAAAAACGACCACGGCCACTTTCCAGCTACCTATGAGAGGTCAAGCAGCCTGCACAATTCACAGACACCTAACTAACAGTTGCCTCTCACAAGCGTGGTTACCACCACAGTAACCACCACCCAAGGTTTTCCAGGATGTTGCAGCATCCTGGAAAGCTCACTCACGCCCCTTGCTGGTCAGTGTGACCTCCACTCCAGTGTTACCATGACTAACCTGTTCTATCTCTTCTTGAATTTCATGCAAATACTCATTCAGTATGTATTCTTGGTGTATGTATTCTTTTGTGACTGGCTTTGTCTAGTCAACATTCTATCTAAATGATTCTTCTCTGTTACTGCGCACAAAACAGCATTTCATTTCTTTTTTATTTCTGGTTGATATTCCAGTAATAAG